TATAGTTCATCATTTCATTAACTATTTCAAATTAAGAGGAGTAAGATTCAGATCTCGATCAACGAGAGAGTTGTGAGTAGTTCACTATTTAGACTCACTTCAAATGCTAGTGAAGGTTGTCCTAGAATGTTCAGTTATTCGTTTTTCGTTTTATTTTTTTAATTTTTGTTTGTATTTTAGAACGGACATTCCCGTAATCTTATTGGACATTCTAAATTATTGTATAAAAAATATAAACCCTAACTCTATTAATCGATTCTGCATTAAATTTATGAAATTATGTCCCTCTAAATTCCGAGTCTTTACATTTGTTGCTTGTTTTCTTTTATAATTTTTGATATTCTCATTGAAAGTGACTTCATCTTTAGTTCATTTTCTTTGGCAAAAAATATAAAGTTAAAAAATTAAATTTATGTAATTGTAAAGAAATACGTTAAAAATAAATTCATAGAAGTTTTAAAAACTTAGAAGAGATTTATGCTCACACAAGGTCTATCATAAATTACTATATAAGAAGAAAAATTAGACTCTAATTTTTCTTCTAATATAGAAGTTAAATGTTGATTGATTTATGTTAATTTTTATCACGAAGTGCCTCATGAATTGTGGGAAAGAAAAAAAAAATATTTATTGAACTTTCATGTGCATACGATATGTAGATTAGAGCTTAAGTTACATGAGCGTATAAAACCTAAGAATTCTGAAGATATGACTACATCAAGATATGAACACAAGAATTTTTACAAGTAACTATTAAAACTCAAATGAATTTTAAAGTAACGCTATCAAAAGCATGAAACCTTATCGTATTATCTCAAAGTTATAGATGATAGTCAGTTTCTGTTATATATACTGATCTTTCTAATTATTAAATTAATTTTTCTGTCAATTAAAGATGACTATAAGTTGAATGTGATAAATTTTATAAAATTCGAATATAATCCGGCTTTAAATGCAGAACCCTAATCTACCACGTATTTATGACATAATTAAAAATTTTATTTTATTTTTCATCTGATTCAATTTTCAAGTCGGATTTGAACAATTTTTTTTTTTAAAACCGACTCAATGTGGATTTATTTTTAATGGGTATTAAATTTATTTATCACATGATAAAATGCTTACAATTTTTTCTTTTTCTTTTTCTTTTTTAATTTTTACTTTCATTTAAGCAAATAAATAATTAAAAAAATAACCACTAGCTATATTTTAAGTGTGTTCCTGGTGAGATTCAAATCTCGTCTATATGTAAAAATATAGATATAGATATATATATATATATATGTAAATAAAAAAAAATATTAAAACGATTATGTGATTAAATTAGTAAAATACAGTGAAGTGATGATTGACATTTGACATGATCAAGGACCTTTCATGCGTCAACGTACGGTCTCCAGCAAATCACGGCATCTTCATCTTGCACGATGGATCCTCACATGTTCCACACGGTTACTACGGTGTGCCTACGCAACACCATATTGCATCCCCATTTTAAGCCAGGCCATACCCCCCCCGAAAAAAAAATAAATAAATAAATAAGCATGCAATTACTAATTAAAAACATTTACCTATCGGCTTGGAGTCAAACAATCTTTTCCTTGACGACACCCTGACGATCTCTAATCCAACGGCTATTAACTCTCCGTCAAATCCTCGAGATTTTAATGCCTATCAAATCACATTTTTGCTACATTACCCATTACTTCTTACATAATGACATTCATATCCCTGAAATAATATGTCCTGTACAGATTTTCAAGGGTAAGGGTATTTTAGACATTTTGTAAGCTCTATAGTATCACTATTGGGTTTTGGGACATGATATCATACACTCATTATATCATATCTTTGATCAGTGATTTCTACATCATGATCATCATCACCTCCATAAATCTTATAGGTTTCATAGCCCTTTCTATTCCATGCAAGTGTTAATAATTTCCTTGCATTTTTATTTTATTCTAAATGTTACCAAGTATGGTTTTAGAATAAGTTTAGAATTACTATATGATTATATATGTTCCAAATTTTGTTGCATAATAATTTTATGCAATATATGGGATATACGTATATATATATATATAAGGTAAATGAACTTATTATTATTTTTTAATCTATGTATGTGGCTATAATAACCAAGAAAAAAATAGTACCTTTCATAGGGTAAATAATTATTTTTATCATAATGTCAAAAATAATTTTCTAATTTTTTTTTATAAAATTTATTCTCAGATAATAATAATAATATAAATTTGACATGTAAATTAAACAATGACATACAAGTCTTCTCATCGGTAGATGAATATTTAATTTCTAAATAAAAACTTTTTTTTTTTAATTTTTATTTTTACAACATTATTATGATATTAAATTAAATAAATAATATTTTCTTATTGGATATAAAATAATGCTGTCCCAACATCCTGCCTCATGAATGTCTGTCTGTTTTCTCCATGGAAAATGCTAGCCAGCAACGTATTCCGCAGTCCGTTCCGTTCTTCTTCAGACCTGAAACGCACCAGAATCCTGAAACGTTTCATTTACTGACTGAAATTCCAGGCTTCTACAAGCCCCCTTTTAATCCTCACTTCCCGTTCTGTTCATTACCATCACCTGCCCCTTTCTGTAGGCCTCAATCGGTGGACATCTCCAGCCTTTTCTTTAAGGATGAACCCGCCAACACCTCACCGGAATCCGAAACGAGAAGTCACCCGAAACTCGAAACTCGATCAGACTCTCCTGTCCTCGACGGTATAGCAGCTGTAGTTGGTCAACATGTTCTCTTCGGCAGCAAACCAGCCGAGAATACCGCAGCAGAAGAGTCCAACAAAGCCGAAACTTCGGCTTTCATTTCGGGGTTTCAACGTTTGGGTTCAAAACACGAAGATGACAAGCGAAACGACGTCGGGGATTCGGTGCAGAAGAGCTACAGAGGAGTGAGAAAGAGGCCGTGGGGAAGGTGGTCGGCGGAGATACGAGACCGCATCGGGAGGTGCAGACATTGGCTGGGTACATTCGACACGGCGGAGGAGGCGGCGCGTGCTTACGACGCGGCGGCGAGGCGTCTGAGAGGTTCGAAGGCGAAAACCAACTTTGAAATCCCATCTGTGTTGCCATTATCACCTTCTTCTTCTTCATCGGCTTGTTCGTCGATTTCGACATGTTCGGCGTTTGATGTGAAGAGGAGAGGTAAAGGGGTGAATAAAAGTTTAAATAACAGTTGTAGGAGGAAATGTGCGGTGGTAACATCTGTGGCTCATTTGTTTAGCTCGAGTAGTATTGTTAATGGAGGTAATGGGTCGGTGGTGGAGCTTGATTTGAAGTTGGGTGTGGGTTTTGATGGGGGTAGTGATGGTGATAAGAATGATGGGTCTTCCATGGCTGGTTAATGAGTTTGCATGCAGTTGCAGAACCAGTTTTTGTGGTTGTTGGTCGTCAGTAATATGGAAAAATATATATGTTTATATATAGTAGTGTGTTTAGAATGAATGGGTTTTGTAATCATTTTGGAGGATGATGAATGGAATTGTTTTGCTGTTTGTACTCCCCCCCCCTTATAATATTTCTGCACAATCAATGTAGATGAGGAATGGAAACTGACACTATTGAACTGCGCTCTGTTAACTCTTTCTCTTTCTCGCTCTTCTGCATGTTCTTTTTTTTTTTTTTGAGGAGCTCTTACTGCATGTTCATATTATACACGTATATATGTGTGCAGAATCATAGTTTTGTTGATCTGGGTGTTTGTAATTTAATAGTAATATTTATTTTCTTTTCTCTTTATTTTCAATTCATGGAATATTCACTGGGTTTTCTCGTGGAGCAATCTCCTACTACATATGAGACCAGAGGTAATACAGAGAAAACTCACCCTAAAGAAATGATCTTTCAAACTGAAACCGATTTAGTTCCTTTCTTCTCCATAAAAAAAATGCAATTTCATCTTCAATTTTATAAAACCCTAAGATATAATTAAGTTAAAGTTGACTGTAAACCAACAAAGACATGAAACTTAAATCATATTCTGTCTGAGCAGGAGAAGCAGGGTGCAATGCCACCTCGATAAAACTTCTATAGCAAGAAGCAGCATGGCCACACATTATGCCAACATGACTTCATACGGTCCTTAGATATAAGGGTTTATTTCAAGAAAATTTGAAAATATAACTCTCTTAACAAATGGTGTAGGGGATTCTGATATATTTTAATTTGATACATTTCAAATGGAAGCACAATGAACTTATTATATTCTCCATACGCTTTCCACATGTTCCCCAAAGTTCAAATCCAAACTCCAGTTCCTTGCTAGCTCTAAATACCCATGTCAACATTTTGCTTCCTCAAGATTAAGGCTTGGAAGATAAAAAGTTTATAACATCTCTTACACCATCCAAAATGATGCATGAAATTTTTGGTTTGTCTTGAAACTAAATAACACAGAGAGAATGTCTAAACTGATCATATCAAGTTCTAAAAATATTTATTTCGATCGTATACATATTTAACTACGAGGGGCTACATTTGTATGGAATTCTTAAGTAGGCTAAAATTTTGTTTTTTTACATCGTCTCAAAATGATTTACAAGTTCCTAAAGAAAGTAAGTGTGAATGTTTTCAAAAAACATTAAGCCGATCAAGAGAGATTAGAAGATTATAATAATTTGGTTGATTAATAAATTATTATTAAGTTTAGAAGAAGAGCAGTTGAGCGTATAGTAAAAAGGCAGAGCAATTAATTATTGCGTAGGCAGCTACGTCATCTCTCAACTCAACTCAACCCTACTCCACGGACGCCAGCAAATCATTTCCTTCACGTCCTATTTATCATAATTACACTTGATACGTGGATTTGATAGTTGATTTTGATCAGGGTTTCTTTTCAACTTAATTACGACAAATTTAATTAATTAATCAAATTTTAGAAGAAACATACATATATATACACTACTACTGTATACACTAGGGTATTGGGAGATCATTGAGAAATTTTGGCCTTAGGATTTTGAGGGTGGGGGAAAAAAAAAACCTATTTCCATGTTGTTAATTTCTATTTTTATATTGTATGTATGTATTTTATATGTTGTTGTGTGTGCGTGTGTGTGTATATATATTAAGTAGGTCTGGACAAATCCAAAAATAGAGATACATAAAACATAAATGCAGTGTACATGAATGTCAGAGTCTTGGGGACTGAGATCTTTTCCACCACATCATCATCAGAGGATCTTTCTAATTTTTTATCTCTCTCTGTGATCCCGTTTCTTCATTCATAAAAAGTTAAATCAAAAGTTAATTAAAACCCTACTGCTGGGTAATGGAAGTTCTCTCTCTCTCTCTATCTCTCATCTGTGAGTGGTTCTTTTTTCTTATAAAACCCTGTCCTTCTCTCTTCCTTCCTTACAGTCATTTAGCTTTGAAAGTGCAGTGCAAAAAAACCTAGATTGAAAAAACTTTGATTGTCACAATTGATTTAAGGGGTTTAAAAGGGGACCTTGCTTAGCATGGAGGGAGCAAAAAGAACTGGAAATCATCACTACGAATGAGATCAATCAAATGCGTCTCTTCAGCTTGAATTACTACAAATGAGGAAGAAGGGAAGAAAATTTGTAGAGACAAAAATGTTAATGTCTTGAGATTTTTCTTAGTAGACATTTATGTTAAGGTGCATCGATATTTAGATAGGCACACGAATTTTAAGATGCATATAAATACATCTATGTATAGTTTAAAATATGCATATATTTTCTCTCTTACATAAAACTTTTTTCTATTTTGAAAACAATATAATAAGAAAATAATTAAAGTTTTCATCTTCACTTTCTCATCCCTAAACATATCTCTCAAATTGCATCAGAGCTCTCGTTCTTGAGGGACTTGTGAGAGTGCAATTTTGAGCGTTTGTAAGGAAAAGAAATCGAACACCTTAATAGCAACATAAGTATGTCTCCAAACAACTTCCTAGGGACCGAATCTCTATTGTTTAATGGAGAAAACTATTGAGTGTGAGTGATCAAAATGGAGGTTTACTTGAAGGTTTTGAACCTTCGAATGGAGAATTGCAGGAAGAGTTGTATGTCGAACAGCTTGTGGGGTTCCAAGTTGAGGGGAAAGGAGAATCATGATACGGCCTTAAGCAAGTTCTAAGAGCATGGTTTATTCTACATGTTAAAACTGTAAAAAATAGAAAATTTATTGTTATTTCTATCTACGTAAATGATTTACTGATTACAGAAAGCTGTGAGAAACTTGTCGTATGTTTCAAACATGAAATGCAAAGTTATATTTAAAATGTCAGATTTAAGACTCATTACATATTTCTTGGGAATGGAAATTATTCAATACTCATATGGTATTTTTGTCTTTCAAAGGAAATATGTCAAAGAATTGCTAAAGAGTTTAAAATGAAATAGCAATGGTACTACTCATAGTCTAATCAAGCTGTCAAGAGATAAAGTAAGTGCTGATCAAGTT